GGGGGGGGGTGACACGAGCGGACGGCAACGACGGACCGGGGGGGGGGGGCAGAGTCTGAGACCAGGATCACACTGGGACTACAGCTACACTATTAGAAACACCTCAACATATCATGATATGTATTGGATGGATTAATTTGTGCCAATCCACAGTAGATTATGATCAACGTCAGGTGTTAAAGGAGCTTCAACCACCTCACGTAATCAGGACTTTGTAAAAGACCTATGTATTAACAAAACAAAGGTAATATATTTCACTTAATTACAGCCAATAATTGTTGACACCATCTACAATTAATATTGGAGTAGTTTGTATATATTTTTACAAGATAAATATTGCCACTAAAATTGGTGTTTCTCCCTTGTGAGGTTAACAAACCTTTAAAAACAACAGGATTTAGAAACGTTTTCCAATCGTGTAGCTAGGTTACAAAATGCTCTGCTACAAACCCTACAGGACTATAGGTTAGAAACGTTTTCCAATCGTGTAGCTATCCTACAAACCCTACAGGACTACCTATATGCATGCAGAATCAACAATACCCAATGAAGTGTTCAAGAATTACCCTTAATGTGCACTATGCGCCAATACTGACACCATGTGGCTAGAATTAAAATTGCAGTCGTTTTCCTTCTACATGGTCAACACAGTAACAGCCCCGTTGGACAGGTGTATTGTATTGTGATTTATTAATATTTAATTGATTCTTTTTCATAAAACCAGGAAATATGTTAAAAAGACAACATATTGTTTATTTCAAAGACATGTTTATTTCAATTATATACACATCTTAAATACAAAAGGCAGAAAAGTCCAAACTCTTTCCATTCAACTCTTAGTGGTCATTGGTAATATTTCACCAATTCTTTCAAATATATCCAAACATGAAGTGATAGAACGGTTGTGAGTGCAACTGTACAACTCAACTGCATCATTAGGGGGAAAAAAAAAAAACTAAAAACGATCCCACCTGAACCGAACTCCTCACTGCCTTCCTCTCAATTCTTTACCATCTGAAAAATATATACAAATATATACAGTATTTACAGCGAGTGTATACTTCTACATACTAATTGTGCCTTTGCGCACTTTCAAGGAATGACGGGACTTAACAGGAAGCCAGCTGCCGTAAGGCTTCCTGCTGTCGTAGCTGTCCACTCTGGCCGTTACCTTACCACAGGATGGCGCTGACACTGTGGGTTTGGCAACTGAATTCTAGAAAAGATTAAAAAACACAAAACAACCCTCAGTCAATTCAAGGTGAATTTCAACGTGAGGTGTATGTTTTAAGAAGAGTTTAAGGAGAATAACTTACATTAATACTGAAAGTGATGGTTCTCCTTACAGGTGAAATCCTTGGGTTGGAAACGTCGTCATGCTCCATGTCATGGCTCTGTTACAGAAAGACAAGACGGACCAAGTTAGACACAAGTCAGGTTTGACAGAAAGCACAGTTCTTTTAGACCAACTATCAACTTCACTACCAATTAAAAGGTTTCTATAGTTAGGTTTAGCTCCAACAAACGATAGCCTCCATGCACACAAACATCCCACCCTCCCCACCCCCCGTTGTCAACGACTAAAATTTTAAATGAAACGCTTCAAGAAACGAAATAAATTAAAAAAAAAAAAAAAGTAAGAAACATGTCTTCTCTGAGTGGCAGAGTGGTGGCAGCGTAGGTTCCCCAGCCCCTCAGCATACGCCTCGTGAACCCACTTATCTTTGGCTTGAGTTTGAGGAGTTCTTGGCCTTTTTTAAGCTCTCTTCACAGGAATAGTCACTATAATGCTGTCCACGTGTCTGCGCTTCATCAGTGAGTGGACGGTTCTGCTAAATAACAATGACCCATTTCAACTGAAAGCATACATACAGTTATAATGTCAAATCACTGCTGACTTCAGACATGTGTTGTAGTGTGTGCTAAAACAGTGTGTGTGTGTGTGGTGTAGAACAGTCAGGCATCTATGTGAGTCATTAGCAGTCAGGTTTTCTAAGCATGGTGTGGATATGACTGAGTTTTATGGAAAGACCTTTAGCTCATGTTCCAACATTACAAGGGTCATCAATAACCTTTCAGGCAAACACCTATTGTCTTCACCCAAGTCACATGACAGCCTTTTTATCCCAGGTGCCGGTGAGTGAAGCAGACCATTGTCATGTAATCTATGAAGACAGGAATAAATACAGAGAGTATGTGTGTTCCCTCAGGGATCCAAAGGTTAACACAAGACAGGAAAATCAACAGAGCACAGATCATGTCAACAAGGACCTGCATTCATCACATCCTGCTTAGTGTGCTACAACTTGGGTTGTCATTTGTTTGTCCTTCTTTTATGTGCCAGTATATCTGCCAAAGTACAGAAAACTACATCAATTAGCAGAGTCAGAGAATAGGTTAATAAATATTTGTATACATTATAAAAGAAAAACCACACTGGTTCAGAATATGAATCTAGTTTAAGCTCCTATATTTACTGACGATGTCCTCGGTATGAGTGACATATTAACTCTCAGACACCCACCTCTGACACAACCTTTTTCGGTCCTTTCCTGAAAATTACACCTGGTTCTGGTGACAAACGGCCCGACTTCAGCTGCTCCGCCAGGATTGGTTTTACGCTCTCTGGAATTCTTAGGTTCTCTACTCCCAGGATCTTCATGGCATTGGTCTTTGCAGCTTTGAGGAGCTCCCTCTTATCTGGAGAATAAATAATTCAAAACAGTCAGATTTATGCACTCAAGAAATTAATTACAGTCATAGGAACTTGCTCTATTTGTCTGGATCCACATACCACTCAAAGTGAGAGAAGACTGCGGGGATCTGCTCCTGGAACGACTCCTGTAAGTTGTTGAGGACCTTGACGCGGAGGGAGAAATCTTGACATTTAGACTTGATGGACTTCTGCGTCTGCTCACATTGTTTGCAGCTCTGGAACTGAAACTTTTGCACTTGCGTTGTGAGTATCTGTCCGGCGATGGTGAGTCACTGTGTGAGCGAGACTGACCCCTGTACCGACAAGGTGCGGTGCTGTCACGGCGCCTTCGGCCATATTTGTAGTGTTTGTCGCAGCGGCATCTGGATGAAGGCCTGTGGCATCTGGGGCGGGAGCGGGACCTGGAATGAGAGGTCGACCTGGACGAAGAAGATTCTGAAGATGATGAAGACCTGTAGCGGCCTCTGTGACTGACACGTGATCTGTTATGATCCGACCCCACAGAGCCACTTCCACGAGATCTGCTGCGAGAACGGGAGGGAGATGAGGTAGGGCTGTTCTGGTCAAAGATAACAGTGATACCATCACTCTGGCGAACACGTGTGATCTCTGAGGGTGATACTTCGTCTTTGGCCATTGCTTTGCTTGCTGCACAGCTGAAATGTGAAAAAAAAAAGAATGTTAAACACAATTCACATTTAAATATCTATTAACTAACTGAACAGAAACTCAATACCTGTACATACCTCAACTAAAAGAAATCTTAAGGTTTTAAATAAACTAAAAGGTTTTAATTTGGTTGTCTAAATTTTTATTTATATATATGGAGAGAGAGAGGACTTTCGTAACAACTTTCTAGCGATAACATGTGCAGCTAAAACAGTTTTAATGACAATGCAGATCGAATTGTTTAAATACTTGTCTCGCACAATAGTTTTATTCAACTGCAATTTCGTGACAATATTTATAAAAAATATATAAAAACGTTTAAAAATGTTCGAATTTAAATGTAAAAAGTACGGCTGTTGCTGCCTCAATGCTGCCCCCTCCCCCCGAGAGAAAAACAGTCATGTTGCGTAACCAGAATGGCTGACAAGACTGGTCTGATCTGGAAAGTTCCATGATGGCGGAAGCTAAAGATAGCGGGCTAGCTAAAATGACCGTGTGTTGCCACTGGTAAATTTTTTTTACTTATACACATATTTGGGTAATTTCATCGTAAACGCTAATAATAATAATAAACTAAAAGAGCATAACTGATGTAACGAACCCCGAGAAGGAGTAATAACAGCGACGTAGCAAGTTAACTACGTCGACCGTATGTTACGCAAACGTACGCGGCTGTACTTACCAGGGGCGGCTATTCAGTAGTTGAAAAGCTGTTTTCTTGAAAGGAGAACTGAATCTCTTCTCAGAAGTATACCTTACTTCTAGAACTCGGGGTATTGAAATTTGGGTTTACGATACGACCAACAAAGAGCGGCGAAAAGAACCTCCGAAACCACCGTCGTCGTCACTCAGAGTAGATCGAGCTTGGGGGAGGTGACTGTCTTTATTGCAGCCTGTGGAAAATTCCAGTCACGTGCTCCTCCTGAGACGTCACTTGTAGAATCTCGCGATGTTTTGTGAATCTGAGAAGAATTAGAAAAACAGAAGACACATTCAATGTTTACTAAATAGTAAGTCCGTAGTAATAATATGGTTTACATTGTCGAATGTCAACTTTTACTGTAACGTGTCTTTTCTGAACTCAGAGTCACTAGATGACAGCATTGTAGCTCATTTTATTAATCTATTTTAATAATTGTATGCAGAATGCTGGTGCCAGCAACTCATACAGTGGTTTGTACAGATACATAAATAAATATTACCAGGTGCTCAATGCTGTTTCAATTCGGAGGTTGGAGGGGTGACTCCTTTTTTTAATGAATAAATTGAATTAACAGTACTTTTTACCCTTTTATCTCTTTAGGCGTCACATCACCCTTCATAGGGTACATTGTGATCAATCAATAGCTAGTCACCTCGTGATCAAATTGGGTGTTGTTTGTTGCATGGTGACAAAAATTATGCTATTTTCCCCTCTACATAGGCGTTTTTTAAAGTGTATAAAATACATAAAATTGTGATATTACATAAATATGTACGTTTATGTCTTACGTTTATTTCGTGTTGTTGAACAACTATGGTGTCAAGAAATCTAATCATGCTACTTTTCACTTCATTTAAACTTTGATACTCTGCCATACTGCCTTTGGTGGGTATGTTTGGTACTGTGGTATAACAGATCGCACATCAAAGGAAATGAGTACTGGTAAGTATTTCCAGTATTTCCAACTGCACGTAACAAAAGTAATATTTTCTTTTAGCATCAAATACATTTTATATCTCCGTATTTTTATTTTATTTTATTTTATTTTAATCGATATCAGGACGTCATTGTTGTACACAGTTAACGTAGGTTTAATTTCGGTGCCTGTTAATTCCCGTAGCACCTGAACGCAACAAAGTCAACTGGGTGTGGATGAAATGCGCATGTCTGTCGCTGAGCTTTGTCGGAAGCAAAGTCGGGTTTATCCGGGGGTCTACATCAAAAAAGCAAATAAAAGGGTAAGAAACTGACGGAAAATGACATTAACGCGCAATAACACCACTCAGTCGTCTATTTAGAATTGTTACGGCAGCTTTTCTTTGAGCTGTTGTTTCATTTCCTGCGATTTTTTTTGGATAGCAAAAGAGAATCCTTAAAGGAAATGTTTGCTAGTGCCAAAGAAAACGAACAAAAGAGTCGACACGGTCGTGGTTTTAATCGCTGTCCAAACATGTCGTGTGTCTCCTCGGTCTTGTCGACAGCACTGTTTTCAAAACACACGTCGGTTTGTGCTGTTGAAATGTTAAGATAGGAAATAACTGATGCGAGACTCGTGAAGTTGAGCATCTTTTTTTTTTTTTTTTTTTACCGTACAGTTACTGCGCAATAAAGTCGCCCAGGCATTCTTTTCCTGCTAGCTCATCGGTCGCTTTAGCTGCTTTTTTGTCATCTGGTGCAATGTATTAGCAACCCGTGTTTTTTTGTTTGTTTGTTTGTTTGTTTTGTATGTTATTACTGTCGACACATTTTCACTCTGCATCCCCCTCTCACAGAGCCATGTCGGGGTTTCTGGACGGAATCCGGTGTGGAGACTGTGAGTGTAATGTGGACTGGGGGGAGAGGAGGAACACCATCGCGTCAATCGCCGCAGGAGTGCTGGTACTGATTCCTCTTTCTGTTACCATTTATAATAACATTTATTCCCCTTGCTCTGCCAGCAGGCTGTGACATAGACTACGGACAGAGTGGAGTGACACGGAACTAGTTTTTAATATTCACTTTGTTTGTCTTCAGTAAATCACCCTGGTGTGTCGTCATGTGACATAAGAGAATGATCAGGTCTGGTGTGTGTGAAGCTTTTTGTCTGTTCCATCCTGAACCAAAAATGAAAGTAATATTTCATTAAACTCATGAGCAGAGAGACGTGGAACTACAACAACAAACCTCTCCGTTTTAAACCCACAATGCCTTGTGTCAAAAATAAACCTCAATTTTTTTATTTTTTTTTTTGCAGTTCTTCACTGGCTGGTGGATCATCATTGATGCAGCGGTGAAGTATCCTGATCAGGGGACGTTTCATCATGCCTATCACACCTGTGGAGTCATCGCTACGTTGGCTTTCCTCATGTAAGGAAAAAAAAAAAGTTGGTCAAATAGAACTTTAAAGTTGGATGTTGTCCTTGGTGATGGTGTCACATGACCATGACGTGTGGATCTGTGCTCTTGATGTCATCACATGACTGCAGCTCCATGCCTGCGTCACATGTTAGCGTCATCATACTGTAGCATCAGAGTCGGCTTTCTGTTTTCTGTCAGTGTTTCTGGGTAAAGAGCTGCTGTGTACATTATAAAAACCTTCAAATCAACAGGGGAGTAAATACCTCTGGGTGTAACTGTATGGTAATAACCTGTCACATGGCGTCAAGTACTTTTCATTTACATGTTTGTGAGCTTTTCTTATTTGAAGTAACACTCCTTGTTGATATAGTGGTGAGTATCATGTCCAGCCATGTAGGAGACCGGGGTTCAATTCCCTGACATGGAGGCCATTTTTGTTTTTTGGGGCAGTGGTGGCCTGGTGCTTTAGGAGGCAGACTGGTGTCCAGAAGGTTGCAGGGTTGAATACACCAGCCTCCAGGTGCCACTGAGCACCGCACCGTCCCCACACAAAGCTGACCCCCAGCCGCTCATCTTTTTCATACAATCCCCTGAATATTAAAATAGATTAATAAAACGAGCAGCGATGCTGCCATCTAGCGACTTTCACTTTCACATACAGCCGTTTTTCCCCCCCAAACTATTTTTTTGGTCACACATCATTTGTTGAAACCCAGGCATTGCTTTATCAGGTTTTGATTATCAGAGGAAAAAACTATAACGATTTTTACTGATTATTACATAATTATGCGAATATCGAGCCGATAACATAGAAGACTGATTTCATTGTGTGCGGTGGTGTGGTGTGCATCAGTGACAATAATTCACTTTCACTTTAGGATTAATGCCGTGTCAAATGGCCAAGTCAGAGGAGACAGCTACAGTGAAGGCTGCATGGGTCAGACGGGTGAGTAAGAAATGAAAGAATCAAAGCAGAACTCGTGACTTCATGGTTTTTTTTCTTCTTTTTTTTTCCACAGATTTGCTCTTAGTCCCTTCTGTTGTTACATGTAGCTACATGTTGATCACCAACCATCCAACGTCTCTTATCTCTGTCCACAGGCGCACGGGTCTGGCTGTTTATCGGCTTCATGCTGGCGTTTGGTTCTCTTATTGCCTCCATGTGGATTCTGTTCGGGGGGTTCGTGGTGCCTCGTAAGTACCGTTCAGCAACTGACACATTTTAGCTGAGTTCTCCTGCTGGCAGTCACGAACGTTCGATATCAAAATATCGATACTCTGAAATATCGCAATATTTCAATTCAGTATACCATATCAATCTCCTCAGTCATCAGGTATTGATTTTTTTTAATATATCGTTGTCTATAGTATTGCAGTATATCGCAATACATTGTACCGTTGCCCCCTGATTCTCGACAGTACACAGTGAAGTTAGTCAAGACCAGGGGTGTCAAACTCTTGGCTGGGGGTCCACTCACAGCCCGCCAAATGAAATGATGGTGACAGCAGGTCATTTGAGTTTGAGACCTGTGTCAAACTCTTGGCTGGGGGTCCACTCGGGTCATTTGAGTTTGAGACCCCTGGTCCAGACCATGACAGAAGACCACAGAGCAACAAGTGATGCCTTTGTTTTGTGTTTTTTTTTTTTTTTTTTTTGCAGAGAAGCCTATTGTTTACCCTGGTATTGCCGTTTTCTTCCAAAATGCGTTCATTTTCTTTGGGTGATTCTGTCATTATTATTATTATTATTATTATGTCCTTCACCTTCTACAAAATCCCGTATCCTTTTAATGCAGGGGTTTGGTCTTCAAGTTTGGACGTACAGAGGACCTGTGGCAGTAATGGACGGTGTGTTTTTATGTCCACTCTTCTACACTTTCTGCTTTCTGTCCTGTGTGAGACGACGCTTTTAGTGGACGTCCACTAAACACATGATATAATATGTGAGAGATAACTTTAATTTAAACTCTTTGCTATATAATAGCTAAATCATAGCTAAGCACAAAGTATAACAGATTCCCTGTAAGTCTGGATATGTAGCCATGTTAGTTTGAACATGTTTTGTTTATATTTTTATTTTTTTGGAGATTCATTTCCCTAAAGTGTTGTTTTTTTTAAAATATATAAATAACAACCTTTAATTTCAACTGATAAAGTGGGAAGTTTGTAAATTATTTTGATGAAACTCTTGACTTGCGACACTGTAAACACACATGAATACGTACATATACTGAATGTAATTGTATAAGGTTGTTTGTATTTCTGTCATACGCTGTTGTCAGCTCTGCAGACACGACGTCCGTCAGGTTCATGCTTCTCAGTCGTTTTGTCTTTGGTTGGCCTGAAACCAGTAGACGTTTTGTGTCTTGTTGTTGAATTTTACCGCAACAGTTCATCTGCTTCTTCTTCCACCCAAACCATGAGGTCTTTTTCTGGTAATCTTGGCAACATTAAAACAAACAAACAAACCAAACGGTAAATAGTTCATGCTTCTTTCTTTGTACTGTAATTCTGCTGTGTCCCCTTTTATTGATTGCCCCCCACTTTGGGAACCAGTGCTCAAGATTATTATTGAACTATTGTAATTTTAGTGTAGTTTAAATAGTGAAAAATAACGAAGGTTTGAACTGCCATGGAAGAAGTTGAGCTAGTCCAGGAATCCAGATTTGTTTCTCACCGAGTTTCACGTTCTTACTTTCTTTCCGCGAGATGAGGAAACTGTGAAGTAGAAGAAGATTTTGAGCTGAGTCTCTAGAAATTGTACAAAACATCGATAAAGTTGAACATGACATACCTCCCAATAGACCTGGTCATCAAAACATTTATTGTCTGGCGGCCGACGACAAACTTCCAACTTGAGTAAAAGCCCTGTCAAAGCAGAGACACGTTAGCGTTAACAACAGTTGTTAATAAAATATTTGTCATTGTTTTTATTGTTACTTTAAAAAAAAAGTTTTTTCATTCTAATGTACTGGATTTGTTACTGGATATGGAACAAAATGGGTTCTCACTAGGAACGTCCGATAATATTGGCCCGATATTAGCGTAATTATGTAATATCTGTATAAATCGTTTTCAAGTTTTCCTCCAATAATAAAAACGTGATTTCCTGGGTTTCATAAAATTTACTGAAATTGTTGTGGGGTTCTTTCGACATGTATCGCAGTTTTGGGGATGGGTGGATATCGGAATCAGAAATTAAGTGTTTAGACAATATTGACTTATTGAATATCGGCAGAAAGTTAATATCGGACATCCCTAGTCGTCTGTGTAGGTTCTCAGTCATCCAGGTCATATTACCCAAAAATGGTTAGATCGACTGAGTAGGTTTCTTCAAGACGTTTCATCGCTCATCCAAGAGGCTTCTTCAGTTTGGAAGAAGCCTCTAAAAACAATTGCTAATAGAAGTTACCTGTTATGAGTCCCGTGGACAGACTGAGTGCGATTGTGATGAGGAGGGAGCAAATATGGAATACCGCGAAGCGAATGGCCCTGGAGATGAAGTAAAAGGGTTGTCACTCATGTCGTCTAACTGTCAGCTGTGCACCACACAGTCTAAGGTTGAGCTGTTGCTCTCTTACGTTGTTTGGTCGTCACAGTCTCGAATCTCCAGCAGGAGGTGTGCTACCCACCCCAGGAGACCAGGGAGTCCGAACGAGCTGAGCGTAGCACAGGTGTCATGACACTGAAACCCATGGAGCATTTGTGTCTGAAAATAACAGATTATTAGCAGGTCTTGTCGATACATTATCAACCTGTGGTGTGATATGTCTGTGAGGCAGTTAGAACCTGCAGGTACTGGTGTCCAATTGTTGCTATGACTGCAGCAGTGAATCCTATTGTCATGGCTTCCCACGGATGCTGAACCCCTGACACCGAGACACCAACAGCGACACCACCAGCAAGGATGCACTGCTGCATTTGGGTCTAACATGAATGAAGAAGAACGTCAAATCTGGGTACATTTGGCTCCAACAGAAGAGTTTGACCTTTAGACCGGCTGTGTTAAATAAGTGGTGCCCAACCCCCAGGCCGCGGACCAGCACCAGTCCATGGGTCCATTGTACTGGGCCGCACAGAATGACTCACACTGTCTTGTCTACATCCGCTACCTTTTTAAACGGTCTGCTGCGGCCGGTAACACATAATAAGTTACCGCTAATTTGAATCCCTCAAGCTAGCAAAATGAACAGAAAACAAACGTCTTTGGAATGTTTCTTAGCGCACGGTAAAAGAGCCAATGAGGAAACAGAAAAAGAGCCTACGTCAATCAGCATTTAACAGACATATGGATTTGTTACGACAGGTTGTTCCTGTGCACCGAGCCTGCGCTGTATAATACGCGGCGAGCGGCTCTCTAATCAAAACTGCTGCGCCACTTGGAGACCAAGCTTTCTGAATTAAAAGTCAAGCGCGATGTTACGACGACGCTGTCAGAGTTTTAACTGGTCCGTGGTACAAAAAAGGGTTGGGGAGGAAGTATCACGTCTCAGATCATACCATGTTGACTTTTCCTCTGGGATGGCAGAGAGAGGACATGGAGGCTGCTGTTACAGCACTGACAGCCAGGGCGAGGTAGGTACTGCACACAGCCTTCAGCTTCCTCCCAGGAATACGATCATCCACTAGGACTGAGTTAAACGTTGGCAAGTACATCCAGAGGAACAATGTTCCTGGAACAACAGACAACAGCTGTAGTCAGAATTTATTTTTTACACACACTTGTCAACCTTCAGAAGAAATGACCAACCTAGCATGGAGAACAATCCCGATTTCTGGTCATATTTCTCCTTCTCAAACTGTAGTTCGCAACCTTTCCGGTAAAACACCCAAGTCAGCAAAAGTCCAAAGAAAGACCCAAAGATGTGCAGAAGCATGATGCTGTTCAGCAGCGAGACCTTCAGTTGGCAGTTAGCATCAGTAAATGACGAGCACAATCTAAACTAGAACGACTTTAATTCTTTGAGGTCAAAGGTCAGAAGGTAAAAAAGGCCGTTTACCTTCAGCAGACTCTGTAGAACCCATTTATTTAGGATGAACCCGGACACCTCCAGCAGGGAGATGAGGACCAGCTGAACAGGGTTGGTCTTTCCCTGCACAGCTGCGATTGAAATCATGGCGGAGGCTGTGCACAGTTCAGCTTCGACCAGGCTGAAAAAGACGCATTTTCAACTTCCAAAACTGAACCAACAAAGAATATTCCTGAAAAACATTTTAAAGTGAAAGGAGAAACCTTTTCAAACTGATCTTGATTTTTCCTCTGTGGGGCTCAAGGCCATTCAGGATAATCCCCCATTGCGTGGCCACAACTGCCACAAGGAGGGTGAATGCAGTGGCGCTGAAACCATATCGCACGGGGAAAGTGAAGAAGAAACCAAACCCTAGGAACAACATCACGTTCACATCCTGGAATCCTGGAAGAGAAGAGAAGAACCAAGCTGTAAAATCTGCCACTTCGTGTCTTTGACTTGACATTTAAAATCGGTCCAAATGGAGAAAATCAGCTGTGAATGTAAATAGCGTTGTCATCAACGTATGTGTTTAACAAATGTTTTTATTTTATTTAAAATGAGGGTGTGTAAAAAAATTACCTGCTGTCGTGTCTTGAGTCAAAAAGTTCTAAGACAGGTGTTGTAATGGCAAATCTCCCTGACGTTTTGAACAATTTTGACATATTTTTACCATAACATTTTCAACGTTTGTCAACACATTTTAAATCAAATCGAAACATCACATTTTGATGAAGGAATGTAGAATTTTCTGCCACTTTCCAACAGGTACTTTTTTCAAGCCCGCATTTGCTCAACAAACGTACAAATACAAATGTTGGCTGCAGGTTGGTCAGTTGAGAGGAGATAACCCCCATGTTTATCCCCCACTCAGCAGCAAGCTTATCAACATCCAGCAGTAACGGTCCCTCCCTGTCCTCCTCACCAACGACGATTCTCAATGTTTACCATTTAAAAATCAACTTTCTGTGTAGAAATTTCATTAAAATAATAATTTTAAAAAACCATTTCTGTGTAGAAATTTCATTAAAATAATCATTTTAAAAAACCATAACATATATGAAACATCTGCTTGGTACGTTTTCTGCTACCCACCCTTACCTGCCTCTGCACCCAAACCTCACCTGGGTAGATGCTGCTGAAGGTCTCTCCACGTATGTTGCTGTTTTTCTGGATTTCAGTGAAAAAGCAAAAAAGGACAATGAAGCTGGTCTGCAGACAGAGCAGCAGAGGTGCCAGGCGGGAGCGCAGACTTGGTGCGTACCGAGGAGCCATTGGAGATGTTCGCTGTACTCTCCTCCACTAACTGACTGACGCAAGTGCTGTGTTTTTGATGTTTGAAAACTGGGCGAAGCTCCAGGTTTAGTATTTCGGTTCAGATGCTGTCACGGCCTGAGCAGTGAAACGATGTGTCAAAATACATTATTTTACCTTGCAAAGAGTTTCTAAAGCACTTTAAAAAAACCTGCTCAGGCTAGACATTTTAAAGCACCCAATATTAAGAGGCCATAAAATGGGTTATTATGTACTTTATATTTTGGCAAAACAAAGAACAAAGAACACAGAACATACAGGGTCTGTTTTCTTGATGATCTTTAAGGAAGGTGCGTTAGCTTTTATTTAATGCTCCTGGCTAACACTGGCCAATTCTGTTTAAAATGTGGTTGTGTAAAAAAAAAAGTGCTTTTTAAGTACGGTATATTGCAATTGTAATTGTGTTTTGTTTTGTATTTTTATAAATATATATTATTGATATTGTGCTGAACCTTTTTTTTTTTTTGCATTTCTAGTTTTCAGGATGAATAATAATGGCTAATGTAAATATGCATAATTCAACCTACTGCAAGTATGGACTACAAACCCCACGTTATAGTCCTAGCATGTAAATGATACTACACAATACACATCGTTCTGCATTAATGTTACAGGGTTAAATTGTTATTTGTAAACCCCAAACAGTAGCCGAAGTTTTCTGCGTTTTAAATAATATGTGTATCTCCTTACGATTACTGTACAACTGCACTTGCTATACCCAGAATAGAATATTCCGTGACAAAACCCGCCTTCGGTTACAGCTGATTGGGCAAACTGTGCTGCCCGATTTGTCCACAAACCTCTGATTGGTCAAATGCAGAGACGCTGGTCACACAGTGGCCCCTCCTCTCCTCGCTCTGTCCTCTCGTCTTTGGGCGGAAAAGAACCGAACGAACGGCTTCTCTGCAACGTAAGTGGCTCATCCCCGTATCCGTCAGAGGAAGAGGCCTCGGCGGACAGATTAATTGGATATAGCAGCCGTCTGACAACCGGACAAGCGCACGACACGGCGCGTTTGGCTCTTATTGAGCGTGCGCCAACAGCAAAAGAGGAGGTTCCCGAATAGAGTCCTTTATTTATTTCTTTGTTTCCAGCGGGGGAAATAATAACAGCGACAAATAAAACAGGTAGTTCATTTATTATTTTTTTGTCAGAACACACTAGAAAACTGGATAAGATTACAGCGGTTATTCGGAGGCCAAAGCCAAGGGGAGGAGGATGAAGCGGCGCAATGCGGACTGCAGCAAACTCCGACGGCCGTTGAAACGGAACCGAATCACCGAGGGTATATACGGCAGGTAACTTAGACGGAGCCTGATGTGAAGTCTTCTTCAGCCCACTAACAGCGGAGAGCCGCTGCGTGACTTGACAGCTGCACACATTCAAGTCTTTTTAACATTTCCACTCGTGTGTTTTTTTTTATCAAGCGGACACATCTAGACATATCATTAGCATTTCTAACAGCCAGCGATAACGTAGCGATGGCAGAAATAGAAGGACTCGTTAGCTGCAGAGCTAACTGTAGCGCTAGGCCGCAACAACAGCCTGTTTTAGACTGTCACCGAATCTCTTCAATGGCAGCGTTAACGTTTATCGTTATTCACACGGGGGGTCAGAATACTTAAGTCAACCCATTCCCTTCTGTCGTTAAACCACCCCAGATACCATATTTCAGTTTAATGTCAAAATAAGCCACTTCCTTGATGGCTAATGTAACTAGTGTTAGCGGCAATGCTAACTTCACAACGGACACCTCCGCTACACCTTCTGTCCACCAATGTTTACATATATAAGAAAACAAACCGACACTCTCTCCGTGTCAACCTCTGACCGTTATTAAATTCTAATTGAATAACCTTTAACGCTGCGTAAAAGTTTCCCCAGGAACACTTGACAGATGTGCTAGAAAGTGAACACTCTTTTTGACTTTAACTTAATTTTTGTGTAGCGGTATTTAAATATACGTTACTGGCCTGTTTTATGCGTACGTGGCATCAATAGATGATCAAATTTCGCCCGTTACACAACTTTTTTTTAAAATTTAAAATCTTGGAGAACACTCCAAGTGTTTTTTTTTTTCTAGATCTCAATCGTGACCGTGATTATTATTATTATTATCACCTGTAAACTCATGGCATATGTGTACAACATGGAATAGTCATGGGTGTGACACGATCTCATTACCATGTCGACACACGTAAATTATGATCTTAAGTACAAGTTCAAATAGGAAATAAACACACAGAGTTATTCATATTATCCTACTTTAATTGTCCCTCCGTATAATGTAAGTGGAAATCACACTTTTACTGAGGACGACAAAAAAATCTGAAAAATGTAAATGCGATAGCAAGATATACTGTATTTGCAGCTTCCATGATTCATGAGGAGCAAGACTAACATAAACAACTGTACAGTGAGGAGTTGATGTTCTTGTCCTCACCAGCATGTGATTTAATGGAAAAACTCTGTTGACCTGTGGCATCTTACATTAGTCCACACAAGCACAACTGAAGTGAATTGACTTGATATGTTATGGATCATGGTCTTAATTGACTCATGATCATGTTATTATTTCCTCTCACATTTTTCAGTACTTTCCTGTACTTGAAGTTCCTTGTGGTGTGGGCGTTGGTGCTTTTGGCAGACTTTGTACTGGAGTTCAGGTTCGAGTACCTCTGGCCATTCTGGCTCTTCATCAGGAGTGTGTACGACTCCTTCAGATATCAGGGGCTGGTGAGTAGCCATGGTTTATTGCATTATAAAATGTCCTGCTTGGGAACAATTTTGTCAAATGTGTATGTATGCGCTGCTTCCAAATGCTGTACAAAAGCTGCTGTAAATTATTACAAAAATTGTAGTTATAAAACTTGATGGCGGGAAGTTGTGCAGCAGAAAAGAACATAGTATTTCAAATAGAAATTAAACTGAATTTTTTTGACCATTTTCTTACTAACCTGTATATCATCTGTGATTTGTAGGATATTAGTTTGACTTTAATCCAAATATTTAAAAAAAAAATCTCTCCAACATTTTTGTGTGTTTGTTGTTTTCTTTGTCCAACATTTTTGTGTGTTTGTTGTTTTGTTTGTACTTGTTTTTTTCTCTGACAACACTTCAGTGCTTATAGAGGAAATCCTTTCTATATCGTTTTTGGACACATTCAATACTTTATTTTAGGTATGTCCGATATTATCGGTCTGACCAACATTAGCATAATTATAATATCTCTAAGAATTTTTATCCGTTTTACTTCCAATGGGTATCGGTCTGACCAACATTAGCATAATTGTAATATCTCTAAGAATTGTTATCAGTTTTACTTCCTGAGACGTTTACCTTAGTTTTGTGGGGAAACGGTTGAATAGATTGGTATCGGAAATTAAGTGTTTGGACAAATTGGCATATCTGATATTAGCAAAAATTAATATCAGACATCCCTTCTTTATTTGCCAGATCCATCATTTGCTGATGTAAGCAGAATGTTGACAGTATAAACAAACACTTCTTCCTCTGCCTCATGTTTCTTGTTAATGTCGACCACCTCTCCCGTCAACAGGCCTTCTCAGTATTCTTCGTGTGTGTGGCGTTTACCTCGGACATCATTTGCCTCCTCTTCATCCCAGTGCAATGGCTATTTTTTGCTGCCAGTACTTATGTGTGGGTGCAGTATGTTTGGCACACAGGTAAGCAGTTAAAGTTCCTTTTAAAGTATTTAAAAATATATGTTTGTTGTCTTGCTTTTTAGCAGTTCTATGTTTAAAGGTGACCAAAGGTTTTTATTTAAATGTCATCTACAGTAAAAGTCATTTAATATGCACGACCTTTGTCCTCAGAGGCTTAACCTAGTCTTATTGTATAGTTAAACAATCTAAATTATTTAAGTATGTGTGTAGCGGTTCTCTCTAATATTCTGGGAAGAGCAGGTGTACACAGTGTTGTGTAATGTCCACGTACATTGTGTTATCACATTTGCAAATGGTGAGTTGCTTCATAGAATTTTCCGTGGTGTGTGTAAGTGAGCTGCGCTCTGCAGATTGGTTGTCACTCTGATTTAGTGGTATCCCCCGGCGGTGACCAAAGGCCAGGTGTCAGATTGAAATTCTAGCACCAAGCGGGGGGAGGGAGAAACACAAAATGATCAGCGACTTGCTTTCCAAGCGCTTAAATTTGACTCACCGCACATTCAAAAGCATATGATGTCACAGCCCATTTGTGTAGGCGTCCGAGTGTGTCAAAACCATGGAGACAGTGGACCAAATCTGGGTGTTTTATCACTGTTTTAATGGTTTAGCTGTTTGTTTACTGTGACACTAGTACACTAGTACACACTCTAGTACAGTAGGTGGCGGTATGTGCCTAAAACGTTGGTTGTGACCCACTACTAACCCCAGATGTCAGGTCCCTATGTAGGCTATGTGACTTTTTTTCTCTTCTGTTACAAATAAAGGATCGTTGCATTTGGTCAGGCTATGTGACTTTTTTTCTCTTCTGTTATTACATCTGTTACAAATTTGTTGCATTTGGTCAGAATTTGTCTGTTGCTCATTTTGTTTAAAAAATAGTTAAAATATACTTAAAATAGTTATAAAATCATATTGCGAAATAAATAATTTGTTGAATCATATTATATCGTGCGTTGAGTACGTCGTCATATTTAGGACACCAAGTGCTCCTCCCTCATCGCAGGTCTGATTACTAGTTCTGAAATCTTTGTCCTTTTTGTCTTGTCAGAGAGAGGTGTCTGTCTGCCTACGGTGTCTTTATGGATACTGTTCGTGTACATAGAGGCAGCCATCAGATTCAAAGACCTGAAGAACTTCCACGTGGACCTGTGTCGTCCGTTCGCAGCACACTGGTGAGTCACGCTGGTGTTTTGACAGGGCATGTCTGGGTTTGGTGTCAGTTGTGTGCGTGTGTCACCATGGTGCTGAGGAATGATGGGCGTTAAGATGGCATTGTCTCAGCTTCACACAGTGGCTTTAACTGTCACACACGGCAGCCAGCTGTATGGAACATAAAAGGTTTAGGTTTTTTTTAAAACCCACCTCTGTTTCCATTGGCCTCAGAGAACAGTCAAAGTTTGATATAAAAATGGAATAAAAATCCCAACAACCTTATAACAGAGAAAAAATTAAAATAACTTATTTTCCGGACTATAAGTCACACTTTTTGCTGGCATCACGACTTATACTCAGGTGTGACTTAAATATTAAAAAATATAATTTGTTTGTAAATATAAAAGTTTGTTATTTTCACACTGGCAGACACTAGAGGGCGCAGGTGCGACTTATATACTTTGGAGTGACTTATAGTCCGGAAAATACGATAATTCATATCATGATGAGCTGTTATTACTTAAGTAAAAAATATATTGACAACTAGAAATGATTTAATATTTTCCTATCAAAGATTGACCTTCATGTGACCTTTGTTATGTCAATCTGAGGATGAGAAATGCTGCGATGACTGTAGATCTACAACAACACAAGAATTCTTATCAACAAGTCGGTTTGAACCTTTGCTGTGCTGTGATAACGTTTAGGAAAAGACCTAGAGGCCAAGTGTATTTACAAACAAATGAAATTCAAAAGTCTTTCAGTCAAGGACAGCATCATATAAAGTACAAAGAGACGAGTCGTCAAGTAGAGGCAGCTTGGCAGAGAGAGGCCCAGCTCCAAAGGTCTTATTAGTTGGCAACGTCCTCAAAAGTAAAAGGCTATAAATCAGTGAGTTTTATTTGAAACAGGCGATGTTTAGACTTCAAGTTGTTGTCGTTTTGTCTCGTCCGTAGCATCGGCTACCCAGTGGTGACGCTGGGCTTTGGCTTCAAGAGCTACGTCAGCTATAAGATGCGCCTCCGCAAGCAGAAGGAGGTGCAGAAGGAGAACGAGTTTTACATGCAGCTCCTGCAGCAGGCTCTCCCCCCAGAGCAACAGATGCTTCAGAGACAAGAGCGAGAAGCAGAAGAAGGTACGGCTGGAGTTTGACGTTTGTTTTTGACAGATTTCTACCAATCTGATGACAGATGAGATGCTGTGTACAGCAGTGTTTGCCTGTCAGGAGGGCGACCCGAACATACTTTTATTACTTGCATTACTTAGGGATGTAACGATCAGTCGACTCACAACACAACACAATATGACTCACCATACAATGTGATTTTTTTTTTTCTTTTAAGTTAACTGTCAATATATGAAACAAGAACAGAACAAGATGAAGAGAAAAAACAGGAAGTGGAAGAAGTTCCTTTCTTTACAGGAACACTGTTGGTGGCTGTGGAACAAGTTCTTCCCACGTTCTGTTCCAACACCTGAACGTCAGAGATTATAAACGTCCAGTCTTTATATAAATAACAACAAATTCTGAGGTTTGAAATTGATAGAATTCATCAGGAGTTCAGCATCGCTCCAACTTACAGTCTGCTCTAAAGATGTGTTTAACAATTGCCCCAGAGTGATCTGCCCTTCTGGTTGTGTTTTCACACATGTGAAGTCTGTGACTTCACTGGAACACGTTAATATCAGGACTGACACACTTTTACAACTTCAAATCTGATTAATCAGAGAGGTGTTGATTAATTGTGATGGGATTCAGTGGAACTAGAACTGTTTCCAGCACTGTGTGAAAATAACAAACTGTGTATTAGAGCAGCGTTTGGACCTGAGTCTGAATGACCTTTGACCTGTTGTTTGAAACATTAACAGATTATCTTTGAATGCAAACAGTAAAGGGATATGACCGGTACCAAATGACCTATGGACCTGCACTGGTCCCCGAACCAGGGGTTGGGGACACCTGTATTAGAGGAGTGATGAGTGAATGCACATTGTTTGACATTTTGTCTGATTAATGTTGACAAACGTGTATCAGTTTAACAGCTGATCCTCTGGAGACCTTTGACCCCGACTGTCTACCGGCTGTTTGTTTTTTTCCACTCTAATTTCTTCTCATCTTCATCCACAGCAGCAGCAGCAGCAGCTAAAGGAATATCTGAAGTAGACACGCCTCCAGTGTCACAGAATGGCGCCCCAGCCAATAAAAAGATATCGGCGCCACTGCCTGAACTAGAATATAGAGAAAAGGGGAGGGATGGGAAGGGCGGGGGGGAGGGTAAAAAGCAGCACAACAGCAACAGCATCTTACCGTCGTCAGTGGACTCTAAACTCCAGGAAATGGAATACATGGAGAACCACATGAACAACAAGAGACTGACCACAGAGCTTGGCAGTACAGAGAACCTGTTGCTCAAAGAGGACAACAATTCCTCCTGCTCCTCTTCCTCTTCCTCCTCCTCCTCAAAAAACTACAAAAATGCGAGCAGTAATGCAGCCACACTTAACTCCTCGCCCCGCGGCCACAGCGCCACCAACGGCAGCGTGCCATCCTCCGCGCCGTCCTCCTCCTCGGGGAAGAACGAGAAGAAGCACAAGGTCTCGGTGGGAAAGGGGACGTCAGGAGGCTCCAGCCGGGACCCCACGGACAACTGCATCCCAAACAACCAGCTGAGCAAGCCTGAAGCACTTGTTAGGTAAGAAGCCCAGTCCTGGTGGGTTCTGGTTCCAGAGATCTTGGTGGTATACCATATACTATATATAATATAATGTAAGTTGACATTTTTCTGTCTGAAGAACCAGAACTGATGAAGTGATGTAATGTATAAAATAGTGTTTTATATTAAAGTTATTTACACAGGTTACAGAGAAACATGGGGCCAACATTTGTTTTTTAATGACACAGTTCTCTGACGTGTGGTGACATCAGACATGAAGTGTTCTGAAGACCAGTCTGTGGGTCTGTTTTAACAATGACGTCTGTGTCGTCTGTTCGTGAAGTTTTAGTCGCCTGTTGCAGTAAATCTGCTGTTTACACAAGAATTTCCCGCAGTTTGGGATCAAAGAAGTTCATAATAAAAGAACCAGTCACACGCTGTCCTTAAGTGATACAAATGTTTGGTTTTTTTTTGACAGGTTGGAGCAGGACGTTAAAAAGTTGAAGGCTGACCTACAGGCCAGTCGGCAGGTGGAGCAGGACCTGCGCAGTCAGCTGGGTTCTTTAGGCAGCGCCGAGCGCTCCATACGCACCGAGCTGGGTCAGCTGCGCCAGGAGAACGAGCTGCTACAGAACAAGTGAGTGGTTCTGGTGGTGATAAAGTTCACACACACACACACACACTCAGCCTGGTTCTGCCTTCATGTTGGTGCCTTTGTTGTGCCCCATCCACCCTCAGGCTCCACAGCGCCGTGCAGGCCAAGCAGAAGGACAAACAGGCCGTGGGTCAACTGGAGAAGAGGCTCAAAGCGGAGCAGGAAGCTCGAGCCACCGTGGAGAAACAGCTGGCAGAGGAGAAGAAGCGGAAAAAGTTGGAGGAGGCCACGGCAGCAGCCAGAGCAGTGGCTCTAGCAGCAGCATCAAGGTGGAGGCCCGTGAGACGTCATACGGTTCCACCGTTCGTTCATGTTGTTACTGCACGATGTTTGATGTTCACTCATGACCGTCCTCCTTTCTCCAGAGGGGAGTGCACAGAAACGCTGCGACGGAGAATCACCGAGTTAGAAACAGAGTGTAAGAAACTGACCATGGACATCAAGATGAAAGAAGAGCAGATCAGAGAGCTGGAGCTCAAAGTCCAGGTCAGGAGCACAAACAGAGCTGGCTTTTTCTTTTCTTTTTCTCAAATGCTTGCAAATATATGCAGTCCCTGTACAGTCAGCTAATTGTCGGGGGTTTAAATGCATATACTTGACTGTTTATTGTTGATACATCAGTACAGTATCATGAAAAGAGATATCACAGTATTTCAGTGTATCTGTATTTTCTTACACCCCTACTATCTAAAAACACGTGTATGAAGTTGGTAGTCCCTCATTGGTTGGCAGTGTTCACGGAGGTTCTCAGTCATTTTTTTTAGGCATTGGTTTTAATTAAATCCAAACCTCCCAAGACGGTCCAGACAGCCATAACACTTGATTTCTCTCAAACATAGAATTGGAGTTAATAGATCTGTATCAAGGGTCAGGGTCCATCATCTGCCAGTGGAGCTGTTTAGTCAATATCAGTATCAGACCTGGTTTATGTCAAGACTGTGGATTGGGATTTTTTTTTCTTTTTTCTTTGTTTCAGGAGCTTCACAAATATAAGGAGAACGAAAAAGACACAGAGGTGCTGATGTCAGCGCTGTCAGCCATGCAGGACAAGACCCAGCACCTGGAGAACAGCCTGAGCGCAGAGACCAGGATCAAACTGGATCTGTTCTCTGCACTGGGAGACGCCAAGAGACAGCTGGAGATCGCACAAGGTCAGGCCAAAATGTCACGCTGTATATGTTTCCACACACGCTGCTTGGATTATGACACAGTGCCGGCACGCACCAACAATTACATGTGTTTAAAGGGTTAAACACTTTTGTAATTTTTTTTAAATTTTTTTTTTTTCACAAAGGTCAAATCCTGCAGAAGGACCAGGAGATCAAAGACCTGAAGCAGAAGATCGCCGAAGTGATGGCCGTCATGCCCAGCATCTCCTACACAACCGACACCAGCAGCATGACCCCCGTGGCCCCCCACTACTCTTCCAAGTTCATGGACACCAACCCCTCCGGCCTCGACCCCAACGCCTCTGTTTCCCAGCCACTGAAAAAGTGAAGGCTACGCCACCCCCCCCCTCCACCTCCCCCTTCTTTTCCTCCCCTCCATCTCTCCATACTCTTGTCCCTTTGGTTTCACCCCAGCCCCCTCACCCCCCTCCCCTGCCGCCCTCCAAACTGCTCGGCATGTCCTCAGCTGAGAATGTTGGTTTTTTTTTTGTTTTTGTTTGTTTTGTTCTTGAGGTTTTCGGTTTGTGTTCTCCTCTTGCCAGGTCAGAAGGATGTCGTATTGTGTGACTGTGTTTGTTGTAGTTAAAAACAAAAGACAAAAAAAAAACAAAAAACAACACACATACAGTTTAAGAAGGGGCGTCACATGTCGACTAGAAAGTCCCAGTTTCTTCTTGTGTCCAGTGAAACCTCAGTGAACCAACATCTCCAGTTCAGTTTAAACTGAGTTCTCCGACTGCACCACAGACACAGACACAGACACACGTGCTGCTGTTGAACGCCACAGTCCAGCTGCTGCCGCCTCTGTTTGATTTCCAGTTTAAAGTTCCACTCTTGGAAACACCTAGTGGTTGAAAAGGGAAAATTGTAAAGATGGAAGAACGTGCAATGAAAGGAAAGCGTTGCCAACGTCAAAATAACCGAGAACACGATTTACTCTTGAATTTATGTGCCAAGACTGGAACGCTCATGGCCCCTCCCTCCCTCCTCCCCGACCCCC